CACCCGCATTGTAATAATTCATTTAACCTCTCATTAAATTGAAGTAAAACTTCTAATCGGATGGCAACCCTTTCTAAAATATTTTATGAATAAATCTTACTTAAATATCTCTCGTTTAACACCAATTTTGATTACGTACCACTTTTCAAAAATATTTTCCAAATGAAGCTTTCTTGAATCTCTTCCATTGAACTTGTTAATTAAATTGATTTTGAATTTCTATACAATATTTCATTTAACTTGTTAATTAAATGTATTTTTATTTTCAAACTAGTGGCAACCTATTGCAAAGTATTTTTGAAATTAGGTGTTCTTACCTCGTTTATTTGACTCCTATCTAAAATGTTAAATTAAACTTATTAATTAAATTGATTTTAAGCTCTCAAATAGGTGGCAACTCTTTTAAAAACGAGTCCTGAAAATAAGTTTTTTTAAACGACTATCGTTTATATGTGTATATATATATGCATATGTTGTATAGTTGGGTGAGAGTGTGATTATGAGTTGAGAATGGTTTTTAATCACTTAGTGTGCAAAAAGTAAATGCGCCCAGGCCACACTGAAGAAGTGGAACTTAAGGCTGGTTTCACTATGTCATATTTTGACGCCAAGATTTTTCGACATATTTTGACACAAGTTTATCTCTTTCACCCTGATGGTTCCAATTACATATGCTTTATTCTGTTTTCCTTTATCATTATTTATATCTTTATACTCTACCGATAACAAAATCAATAGCAACATCCATCAAAATATCGATAACAAAACCAATAAAAATATCGATTACAAAATCAATAAAAACATCGATAAGAATATCGATAAAAAAATCTATAAAAATATAGATAAGAAAATCCATTTAAATATCGATAGAAAAATCGACAACAATATCTATAACAAATTCGATAAAAAAATATCAAATACGAAATCGATAGCAAAACCGATAAAAATTTCGATGACAAAATGGATAAGAATATCGATAACAATATCGATAAAAAAATTCTATAAAAATATAGATAAGAAAATCGATAACAGAATCGATACTTATATCGATCAAAATTATTGATAAGAAAAACAATAAAAAATGTCAATAACAAAATCGATAAAAATTTCGTTGATAAAATCGAAAAAAATTTCTATAACAAAACCGATAAAAATAGCGATAAGTTCCGAAAATATCGATATCCTATACGACAACCTTATTGATAAAAATATATCGATTATTATATCCGTAAGTTCCGAGAATTCCGAAAATCTCTAAAATCACGAAATACTTCACAGATTTATTTTATTCTTTCTTCCTCTATCACATTTGCTTTTGTATAAGTAAAGTGTTTAAATCATTTTTGCCTTTTTTTACGCATCTTTGTTTTTGTTTTTATTTTTGCCTTTGTCTTTGTCCTTTTCTCTATCTACATATGTATGTACACACCTTTACTTCTATTCTCGTATTGGTCTTTTTCTAATCGTTATTCTTTAACCTTTTATTTGCAAGTTTTTTGTGAAATTAATACCATGTGCATACACTTGCTTGAGCCCCAACCATTTCCGTGTACAATTTCCGTTGCACCATTTCCGTTGAATTTGCCAAGTTACTCCCAACCAACCAACCGCCGCTAAAGAAGTTTCACTTCAATAATAAAGTGCTAAACTATGTCATATGATAAATTTCCACGAGCCTTTGGATACATTTTTGAAAACAAAATTTTATATATTGAAAATCAATTTTAATCAAGTACTGGCACATATTGGCCACTTTTATGTATGACTATCAGGCGTTCTTTTGTATGACAATTTTTTACCATCAAGCCAGCTTTGCAAAAAACGAAACAAGACGGTGCATACATAGTTGCTACTTGTAATTATTAACTTTAGAACTTTAGAGGTCTAAAACCCAAAGCACAAATGCAGTACTAGTTACAGCGAAAGTGCAAAATATTTTAAAATTTGAATTGTTCGAAAAGTTGTATGAATTTCTTTTGCTTTTATGTTGAAAATGTATGCGCCAACAATTAAATCACGATTTCAAGACGGTTACAAAGTCAATCGTACAGTTGGCGAAGCTGTGCAAAAGTAACTTTCGCAAAACTTTTTAACTTGACAGAATTTATGTATTTCAGAATATGTAACTATGTATGCATGTATGAACTTTAGTCTGGCGGCAAGTTTCACTTTCAGCAGAAACTTTGCTGTCGGCATTTCGTTTTTACTGCTTTTGCTATTTCATCTGAACAGCGTAAATTGCATCCACATGAAAACGTAATTCTTGAAGTAGCAATTTTGTTGCATTTTTTATTCACAAAACTGCCTATACAATTTCAATATTTTAACATTGACGAGCTTTCTCTATATCGTCACCTTAATTCACAAGGCTATCTGGTTAAAATTCTTATTGTGTAGTGTAGTTTATTGTTGTAAACTGAGTAAAAAATATAACCACATAATGTGATAACCAGGCAAGTGTGAACAACCTCAATACAAAAATAGTATCAAAAACAGGTATTTACTGGAAGCTGGCGCTACCAAGCAGGCATAACATCACGATAATAGCTGATGGATTTGCGCCCTACCGCGAGGAAATCGAAATCCCGGAAACACTTACACGAAATTGATGCTTGCAACAATTCATTACCAAAAAAATGCGTTTATGATACAATTTTTGAAAATGGCTCCGCCCACGTATGATCACATATATGTATCTCGGTGACCGTTATACGAATTTATACCAACTCGGCATGGTTATTGTGATTGCCACATAAAAGCAAAACGTTGAAAATTATTGAAATCGGACTAAGATTACGCCCACTTTTCATATAACTGTAAACTTCAGATATGCTTGAAACTTCGATATTTCGAAATTTAAGTACGCTTATTTACTCAAAATTGACACTAACAACAGTCCCTTGGAAAGAAGTGACATTATTATGGAATTTTGGAAAATGGGCGTGATACCGCACACATATAACTATATAACGTCGTTTAAAGTGCAAAACCGCGTATCAGCAAATGCAAAACCGCTTATGTGAAGTTGCATAAATTATTTTATAGAGAGTAAAAACAGTCATATTTCAAAATGGTTCTCCCTTTTATAAAGCAATTGCATTTCTGGCTAGTATATTTCAGGACAAATGGATAAGGATTGAGCCAAGATCTTGTGTGAGCAAATCCAATTTTTGGCAGCCAATGTCAGTTACGCGGTTTTGCAGAATGACGATACGCGGTTTTGTACTTTAAACGACGATAATTTTATCTCATGATGTCCAACTGAGCGTTCTATCGAAGATGTTTGAAATAGGGGTAAAACCAGCCCAGTTTATCATGTAGCGGTTTCCGCGGTGTAGTTTCCGGAAAGGTGAAAAACTATTTTTAATACTTGCGCCGGGTATTTAATGTTCGCTTTACTTGTCAAAGTGTCAAAAAATCGCGCTTTTGGCAATATTTGAGAAGCTCTAGAGACATCAAAAACTGATTTTGGCGAAGTTTGATACCTATTGCAATTAAACACAAGGTGATAGAATTTTCTACTTGAAATTTAATTATAGCTAAAATTTTTCACAATTACTTCTGAAAGACTTATTACTGCACAAGTACCTTATAGTCACTGGTAGTAATTTGTATTATCCCCAAATACAAAATAACACATTTGACACGGTCACCAAATTTCTGTGAACAAAAATCGGAACATTTCTAAACAGGGACGTGAACCAGATGAAAAATTTGGTCGGTTCGGTTCAGCGGTTCGAACCGTTTTTGCACTTTTTCGTCAAAGCGGCTTTTTTGGTCTTTGAACCGGGGTTTCGGTTCGGTTCAACGGTTCGAAAAACAAAAAAATAATGTGCAAGTTTAAGTGTCCAGTGTCAAGTGCAACAAAGCGCAAGGTTAAGGGTCAAGTGTCTGTCAAATGAGATGGGTTGCCTTTACATTATATATTGTCACATGGTAAACAAACGTGGTAGGTATAACCATGTTTAACAAAAAGAAAAAAAAAGTGGGTAAATTTATCTATTGAAAATTGGTTGAAACGAACCTTTATGGAAAGTGGTTCAGTTTTCGGTTCGGATCAAACATTTGTGGAAAATTTCGGTTCAGTTAATTAATAGAAAAAAGCGGTTTTCCGGTTTGAAACCGGTTCGGTTCAAAACCGGTTCACGTCCCTGTTTCTGAAGCATCGAATGAGAACATACCATTTTGTTACAGTTTTATTAAAAACAAAAAAAGTTAAAAAACTCTGAAAATTGATCGCAAAAATGTGTACATATAATATACTGCAATATAGCGAGAGTATCAGTTTGACAGAATAAAACATAACCAAAGATCATAGACAATAAAGATGCTGCCTATGTTTGCGGCTCCATTATATTCTATGTTCTTTGAGATAACGAAAGTTCTGTCAGCTTATTCCGAAAAATGGATTTTAACTAAAACACTGAAAATTGGATTTAATCGGTACAAATAGGAAAAATAGCGACCCTTACACGTACTTACTTACGCGTACGACTTTAAAAAATATTCGGAGAGACAATTTTCTCAAAATCGGTATTGTCCCACCAAAATCGGTACGAATGGTCACCGTAACTATAGGTGACCTTCAGGTTAGGCATCAGGGATGGCATTTTCGGGGGGTGTAGTCGAAAGGCTTCTCAAAAATGCCTTTGATCACGTTTTCCTCAAAATCTCGAGCTAATGAAAACTTTATACCCACGGATCACGAATCACCACAAAATAGGTCTATTAAAAACAGCTTTAACATTTACGGCACCAAAATTGTTTAAATTTTTGTTGGCCTGTATTATATCTTTATTTTCGCCAGCATTCATTACATTGCCATAACACGAAACTAACGGACAGTGAAAAATTCTTTGCTTTGAAAAATTCGCACAATTGCTCATAGGCAAAATCGACATTCATAAATTGTATTCAAAAAATAAATAAAAATGTTACCAAATATAAAAGATAAAGTGGTTAGTAGTCAATTACTAAAATTTAAAATAAGGAGGCTCGAAATCTTTTTAAGAGCTATGCTTTCGTGGACTTTTTTTTGTTCAGAATTGCAAGTAGAATACTTCAGCCGCCGAAACAAACTCGCTTATTTTTGTTTAAGAACAAATTGACCCTCCCTAATGTACATATTTCTTGAAAAATAATTCCAATTTTTTCACTCAAATCGACTTAAGAAATCTTATGTTATAACTGGGCTCCAATTTTTGTTGTGCGTCTTGATGTTGTTACACAAGATGGAGGGGCCTACAATTTTAAGCCGCCTCTAAAGGGCAAATGGTTTTTTTTTATTACCGGGGCGTATGATGAACGCGAAAATGAGCTGCCTTTGCCTCGAACTGTGCAGTAACTATAAATTTTTGTAAATTCGTATTATTCAATTTTTCAAACTCCGGTCAATTCCCATTTTTTGGATGAATGTGTAGAGAGTGAATGAAAACTTGGCGATCTGAAAAGAGATTTTAAATGAGCACACGTGTACTACTTAAACCGAGAAGTATACACTCCCACTTACCGATACGATTACTGACAGATCAATTGACACTAATTTCATCGCAAACAAAGGAATGTTTTCGTGCGAGCATTGTAGAAAATAAAGTAGCATTTTTTTGAATCGTTTATCCTGTGCTACCCAATTGCAATGGAAAATAGACATTGAAAGCCGCTCACAGTCGGTTTGCAAACAAGAGGCAAAGTAACAAGTCGTTGAAATTTGTAGAAAAATGTTCACCAAATAGATGATGGAGATAACTCTGGAAGTGGCTTTGGCAAAAATAAATATATTTATCATTGTGACGGCCAGGATTGTTGCAGTAATTAAGAGCTGGGCAAACATAGTGACAGATATTATTGGCTTTACAATTCCCGCCAATCTGAAATGATAGAAATCAATATTTAAATGGCCATACTTCATCAAATGAATAACTACACTCAGTTTTCAAAAACTAACCTCAAAATATCCTGGTGTGAAATAATACACTCCTTCAACTCAACGTTTGTATCTTCTTGGCTTTTATTGGCCACAGTTCCCAAACGTTTTACCCGATTCGCTAGCAACTGTACTTGCGTGCGTATAATGTTAATGTATACAACCGGATAGCAGTCGTTGAGCACTTGGTGGAAAAGTATGACCAAAGCCGTAGTACAATCAAAACTAAACTGTAACCAGTATTCCCATGTCGATCTCTGCCATTCCACATAGGGTATCCATAGCGCAAATAGAGGATGGCCCCGCAACACTGCTGATATCATCCACGAAACTGCGTACATCATATAGACCAGAGTGTAGAAAAATACAAAACGGTTGCCTATGATTGCGCAGCTTCGTATCTTGGCCTTATCCCTCGCTTCAGTGTAGCGTGCATCCAATTCAGTTAACAACGGTTCAACGCTACGTAGTCGCGCCAAGGACAATATTAACATGGTACTCTTAAACGGCAAGCCAAACGTATTCACGTTAGTCTGTATACACATAAGTATCTCTGTCATCGATAGAATATCCCTATAACGCATCCAACTAAGGGTTAACATTATCGGTGAATAAAAAACAGCGGCAAATGTTAATATTCCCCCATACAGGAAGTTCAAGATGCGAAAATTCGGTTGGGGATTTACGCCCACCAATCGAAATATATTGAATAGGTAAATGACGGCATCGCGAGAGGAGAACACACTGCGACCACGACCTTTGAGCAAATCGAACATTTTTGTAAATGAAGCGTTAACGTTGAGATGATGGATTTTATATCGGTCACTATTTTCTATGTATGAGCATACATACATTTGTATGTATCCTCCAGTTAGGGTTGCCAACCGTACTATAACATATAATATTGCACTATTTTTTTTTTGGTCTGCGTACTATATACTGTTAGAAAAAATATAGTACGTCAAAAATACTATATTTCTTCAGTTATAAATATAAATATATTTCAGTAATTTGTAAGAAAAAATATGTATTAAAATGATGAAATAAAAATATTAAAAAGAAATATTCTTTAAAATAAAAGGTCATAGTTAGTTTATGAATAGAATCATAAAATAAAAATAACTTTTGATTTATATTAATTCAAATCTTGATTGTGATATAGCACAAGATACTTTAATAGTTAACAAGGAATTGTTAAAAACTGTGCAAAGATGTATATTAAAAAAAGGATGTATACTTAAAAGCGTTTTTACTTTCTCTTTAAAATAAAATACTATATATTTTTGAAGTGTACTATATTTTTTTGCATTTTATTTTTAAATACAATAAATATATGAAAAAATGTTGGCAACCCTACCTCCAGTCGTACTCAACGTCTTCCCACATTTAGTTATATTTAAATTCGTTTGCGCTCCTAACATATGTATAACAACTCCAAATAATAAAGAAATCAGAATGAGAAAAGTTTGTAACTTTCGTAGTTTTTCTGAATTTATAATGTCATTCATACAATTTTAAACAAAGTGCTGTATTAGGTGCTAGGTAACCGGTATGTAAACATATTTAATAGCGCATGAATTTTTAAAGTGTTAAAAGGAAATGTAAGGAATACAAGTAGTTAATCTTGGAAGGAATATGAACATACAATATATATATATATATATGTACAATATATATGTCATACAAAATTTTATACAAATTACAAAAGCCAGACCGCCATTGCGCTGCCACGTATGTGACGCCAAAAGAATCTCAATATTTTTATAATTTCCTTCAATTTCCACGGCTAGGAATCACACCAAACTTACGGTTCTTACGCTTGATGCGAGTACTAGTATGCCTAACAACTTTCCACGTGGAGTAAGTTGACCCATTTTTGTGGCAAAAATTAATTATGACCAAACAAGTAGGTTAGTTAAAAAAAAAACGTAATTTTTTATTGATTGGCATATGATTTTCCACATTTTTGCAATTCAAATCTTAACCCTTGACGACCGATGGGTCTAAACGTTTGTATTAAATAAAAAAAAGTTCACTTATGTAGTTATATACCGAGACCCAAAATAATCATTATCCTAATCTTTCATATCAAAAAACGTCGCCTTGTTTTAAGATAAATTTTTTTCGTCTTATTTACGAGAAATATCTTTTTTCGACCCTCGAGATTTTTTACGTCTTCTCATAATAATTATGGGGGACTTTTATTTTTTTTTCGTCTCGTGGGACGTTTATTTCAAGACGGAAATGATTTACGTCTTCTCATAATAATTATGTGGAACTTTTATTTATTTTTTCGTCTCGTTTTATGTGACTTTTATTTTGCTCGTCTCCCGTGAACTTTATTTCAAGACGACAATGATTTATGTCCCACGTTTTCCCTTAATATAATCGGGTACATGTACTGCCGATTTCACGAAATTAAACCCAAATATCTCCGAGCTCGATTATTGGAATTTGATTTGCTAACATCTGGCAACCCTAAATCCTAGAACCACGTAAAAAAATAATTTACATCTTAAAATAATCGTCCCGCCAGACGAAAACAACTTTTCCATTGTTCAGTAATAATTATGAGCAATATTTAATTTTATTTGTTATAATTTTGTAAATATATAGGCGAAATAAAATTTTTAAAACTACATGTGGTTATTGAAACAAAATTGAAAACCATAATTACACCAATAAAAAAACAAAAAAATACAACTAAAAGAAAATTAAGAAAATGCGGCGAAGGAAAACCCGTCAATGCTGCCACGGACACAGCGTGTACTAACTGAAGTTCCCATATTTGTTTATATCGCCGAGTAAATTTTAACTTTTCATATGGATAGCCCTTTTCTCTATCAACATAACAAGGGCTATTTCAAAGTCGTGGGTTCGAATCCGACGGCCAGCAAACATTTTTTTTTTTTTATCTTTTAGTTATTCACCCCTATGCTGTAATCCGAAAGTTCGTAGTTACGAATTCGTAGCTCCGTTCCGAAAATTCGAAAATTGGTATGCTTTAATCCGATCGCAACTATCAACGGCGTTGCCAACTAAAATAGTGAAATTCGAAGTTCTTAATCAGCTGCTTTGACAGAAACAAATCAAAGTAAATATAATCGCAAGTGAACAGCGAAATTAAAAAAAATTGTTTAATCGTATTTGAAAAACTTTTCCTTAATTAAGTAAAATAGAATGGATTCAGTGGCCGGTGCACTTTTGTCTCAGGAAGAATAACATGCTGCAGTCAACTGTTGCATTAATATACAAAGGAGATTGCTACGAGACAGTTCTGATCCATTTAGCTTAAATGATAAATATATGCTCCCTCTTTTTAAGGGCGTCCATTCAACTAAATATTGTGCTGCTTTAAATCTTGCAACGCTTTCCCAAAATTCCACCACATCCTCTTTAACTACTTTTACAAAGCCTCGGGCAATGTCCGGCCTTTCGCTCATGCATTCCACCAGTTTTTCGTATTGCGAGCGATTTGTTGTGATTGTCGACTTGATAATTTTGTAAACATTTAATAATACATTTTTTTTTATTCACACTTCAACTTACATACATATTTTTGCGTTTCCACACTTTATTTTATTGATATTTTAAAAGAATTCGCTTCGCTCCGACACCAGTTGCTCTTCGTAGAAAATTTCCGACAAATACATACAAATTACAGCTACGTCGGATTCAGGCATACCAACATTACGAATTTCGAAGATGGTCTACGAATTTCGAAATTACGATACGGCAACGTGGATTACAGCATACCAATTTTAAGATTCGTAGCAAAATCGAATCTACGACGGATTACAGCATAGGGGTGATTATTTTTTTTTTAAATTAGATTCAAAAAATGTTCGTTTCCTTGAAATAATTAAGTGAAATAAATGTGTACTATAAATAAAACCATAAATTAAAATAATGTTTATAATTTTAACAAAAATAAAAATTAAAACAATTTTGTCAAGAATCACTCGGAGGCGGGATCGAGCCTGGGTGCTAGGTACTGATTTTACTACCTCAACAGAAAAACTTAAAACCTTATTTCAATATTTTAAAATAACGTTCACCTCATTTGAAAGATAAAACGCTAATTTTTTGATAGAATGCACTTTAATTTGACCGAAATTTAAAAAGTGGGTGAGCTATCGTGACGACAAGCGACTGTTCGATGTTTTCTGGGAAATATTTTTAAAGCACATAAAAAGCACAAAAAATGAGCCCAGCTAAGAAGTAAAAAAGTCTTAAGTGAATGGATGTTTTGCTAAGTTACAGTTAACCTAGCAAAATCTTAATAATTTCGGCAACTGAGTAAGTATCTAAAATGATTTTGGTGGCTCTAAAAAGCACATAAATAGCCCATAATTCCTCAATAATATTTATCCGTGTTCGACCAAAGTTCAAAAAGCGGGTCAGCTAACGTGACGACAAGCGATTTTTCAATGTTTACTCGGCATTATTTTTAAAGCACAAAAAAACAAGCCCAGGTAAGCAGTAAACAGTCTTCACTGAATGAATGTTTCGCTAAGTTACGATTAACCTAGCAAAGTATTAATTATTTAAAAATTTGTAGGAACACAAAAAAAATCAAAAGTGGTCTAAAATAGCACACAATGAGGACAATAATACAAAAATATTTTTCCTAATTTTTTCATTTGAGCTCCGCTAGCTTGATTGCGCTCGTATAGTTATTTTGCTTAACTTTGTTCCCTAGTGGCATTGTGCTCAATTTCCTCATTACACGAATGATGGAACGATGATTCGATAGCATACTTTCTTTTACTGATTAAGGCTGAGTAATGGCAGCTCAGCGTTGAAAGCATCAGATAGAAGCATAAAGCCTATTGAGGTGGAGCTTTAGCACACATGAATATGTACATACAGTACACGAGTCGTGCTGTGGCTCATCTGGCAGTTTTCGTTTCAAAATAGGTAAACTCAATGGCATTGCGTCAATTAATAACAGCAAATGAGCAATGATGTGTTTCCTCGATATTGTTAGATTATTAAGCGAATACCATCCACTTATTCGCTGTATGTAAGTACA